ACCAAGGGTGCCACGGCCCAGTCCGTCCCCCAGTCTCTTCAGTTCTGCCTGTGATAACACACTGCCCGCTGCCGCCAGCTGCCAATCCCCAGCCAGCCTCAAGCCACCGGAAGCAGCCAGGGCCCTAACAGGTAATTAAGGAAATTACTGGCAGCTGGAGGCCGAGCGGCGCTGCAAGCCCAGGGTGACACGCGTGCGCCCTGCAGAGAGGCGCCTGGGGGCCGTCATGAGGCCTACTGGGGAGGGGCCTGCTTTCTGGACACAGGCTAAGGCCCCTGGAGAACAGGCTGAGGTGGGAACTCAGAGTGCCAAGATCAGGAGACTGAGGGGCCAGCAGGGAAGGAGACGCGCTTTCCAGTAAAGCGGGGCCCTGCGACGTGCCTGCCTCAGGCCCCAGCCTGGGCTCCTGTGGACCTCCCGGAGCCCGAGCCTGGAGCCAACGTGCGGAAGGGCTGATGGTCGGCCCGAGAGGCGGGGGTGATGGAGGGCCAGGAAGCGGGCCTCGAGGTCGCTGCCCTTCTGTGGGCCTGATAAGAAGTGGCTGGACCCTCCTCCTGGCTGACAGTGGAGGGACGCGCACTGCTGAAGGTGCCGGCCAAGGGGCGTAGCCCAGAGAACCAGCCCAGAAGCCTGCAGTCCAGGCTCAGGTGGGCCAGCTGCGGGGCCAGCTGTGCACCTTACTGACTCCAACTGGCCAAGACCGTGGGGCCTAAAGGTGGCTGCGAGCCACCTGGATTCCGGCTTGTATGCCGCCAGGCCAGGAAGACTGCTTTGATAGAGGAGCTCGGAACGAGTCCGGCATATCCCAGCCCCGCAGGGGACATGACCAAGCCTGCAGGCCCGGGGGCGGCCTGGAGAAGTAGGAGGGCACCGTGACCGCAGCAACGAAACCGTGTCTCGGCCCCCACCACCAGCTGGCCCACATCGAGGCCCATCAGGCTGACGGGCAGCACCCAGGGGCCCCAGCACCTCGGGAGGCCAGGCGCGCTGGGCTTGTGTGTTCCTCCCAGCCCGGAGGGCCTCAGGAGTCAAGGCCTATAGGAATGGAGGTGAGATCCCCCCACACCCGCGGCGGCAGGTGACCCAGGGCCCTCCTGGGAGCAGAAGCAGGGGCTGCCCCAGGAGAGGCCCCCACTCTCAGCTTGTCTGGTGCCCCACGGTGGTGGCACCTGCCTTGCAGCTTTGTGCCCGGCTATCCCGCATCCTGGGGAGTGTCCCAGACTCGGGGGCAGTGTCCAGGTGCCACAGGTAAGAGCCCCGAGAGTTGGGACGGGCCAGCATGGGTGCCGGTCCTGGGCCAGGCGGGAGCAAGCGGCTCACTCGGACAAGCTTCAACCGGGGTGCATTGGGGCAGACGCCCAGCAAAACTGGGGACCAGCACCCCATCTTCTGAGGGCCACAGCAGCCCAAGTGGAGGCGGCCAAGGGCGACCCCACACGGCTGGCCCTTCCTAGCTCCTCAGCTGTCACTCTGTCCTGGCCTTCCCCTCCTGGGGCCATCCTGCCCACTCTGTCGGCTTGCCTCACCCTGGAGAGCCGCTGACCGAGCACGCCTGCCCTGCCCACGGAGGGAGCAGCCCCTGCGCTGAGCGCTGAGAAGGCCCAGAGGCGCGTGCTTGCTTTGGGGGGAGCCCTGAAGGGGACTGGCGGAAGGAGCAATTGAAAAGAGCAAAGGTGGCAAGAGCCACGCTGGCCGCGTTGTAGGACAAGGTCCTGACGCGGGGGATCCTGACAAGTCAGGTGATTCCACAGCTGGTTCCCGCTGGGCTCTTTTCGTTTGTTGTTGGCCGTTCCCAAGAAGCATAGCGATTGTCCAAATATACATTCAATATCAAATCAATCATTACTTGATTGGATTGATTGGTTCGATAACGGTAGCACCGCACACAGAACGGCACGCACGTTGTAAGATAATTCATATTCCCCTGCTGAGGGGGCGGGCACAAATCTAGGCCCCACAGTCACGAGAGACAGGTCCCGCCCAAGAATTCTGGGAAGCAAAGGCTGCCATCATCTCCTGCCCAGCCCCCAACGAAAGACCTACAGTTTTAGGTAACACAGTTTTGTTTCAAGTAGTAGAGTTATAAGTAATAAGTTTTCCTGCTCTTTAACTTTCACGCCGCGCCGACCTCTTTTCGCACAGAAAGGTCTTTAGGTTAATAGGATAAGAATCAGTGACCATAAAGAAACTTTCCCCTAGTTCTTGTGTTAGAGAGAGCAGGCTGACAAAAGAGTTAGAGAAATGGTGACTAATAGAAGCTCCTTTTGTAGGTCAAAAAAGGGGTTTTTCCCTAAGGGCAGGGAAACGCCGGTGCACTCGGCGCTGGTGTTTTCTGACTCCCAGTTCCTGGACATTAGACCCTGCACCTTCAGGGTGTGTGTTCACTGAGAAATGAACAGGATGATTGCTCACGTTGTCACAGCTGACTGATCACCATGGAAACATTTTGTTTATCGATAACCGACCCCCATAGGAATATTTGGTTTGATAACTGATCACTGTAGGATGCTTTGTTTGATGACGGATCGCCATGGGAATATTTGTTTATTACTGACTGGTCACTATAGGAACATCTTGTGTATGAATATCACAGTCTCCGTGAGATCAAAGAGTCCCGAGCTGTCTTTAAGAAAAACGTGATGATTGTTAAGCTTTCTGCACACACCGCTTGCTTGTGGCATATAAATAGTCGGCAGAAGCTGCTCTCACCCTGAACAGGTGTCCGCGTCCCCTCATTTTTCTACCTCATCTTTTCTCCTTTTCTCTCTCTCACCTGCGCCAACGCTGCCCTTTCCTGCGGGAGACCCTCACTACCTCGGCTGAGGCTGGTCTTCAGCACAAAGGACTGAGTTTTGCTCTAAGACCCAAAGCCGGCACCTCTAGGCCACATATGAAAAGATGGAGGCGAAGGAGCAAGGGGGGCCCGGTGGCATGGGGGCCAGGGCAGCCCAGGGCCAGGGCGCAGCGGCTGGAAACACGGCACTGTGCCGGTGTGAACGCGTCCCAGGGAGCGCAAATGATTCCATGAAGGCGGCGGGGAGACTGGGCTAGCAAGCAGGCAAAGATCTAGCCCTAGACCTCACCTCCTGCTGTGCCCCCAGACGCATTTCCTCTGGATTAAACAGGGTTCAGCAAATTATGGCCCCAGGGCCCAAATCTGGCAGCCACTTCACGTGTAGGATACAAGTTGGCACAGAGATGGGGTGACCCAGAACGGGCAGAGATTTAGTCTGCGACCCACTGCAGAAACAGTTCACCCCACTTGGACGAAAGAGTCAGTTAGCCATTGTCAAAGCGCAAGCGCACACAAGCAGGCCAGAGACGGATGCTCTCAGCTTTCTGGAGCGGGTTTTATAAACTAATAAGCAACGGGCAACATTTGTGAGTTAGGAAGTCTTTACCATTTGCATGAACAAAATGGAAAGGCAAAGAAGAGGCTGCACAGTTGCTGGCATGACGCACGCTACCGGTCACTGCATTGCACGCGTGGAGTTGGGATAAATGCACAAGAGAGCCAGCGGCAGTGAGAGAAGTGGGAACTCAAGCAGATACTCGTGCAGTGGTTTGGGCCTAGTGCCGGAGCTGCAGCGGGAGCCGGGAGGCTGCAGGAGCCGCCCAGCCCAGCCCAGCGCTGAGAAAGCCCTCTGGGATAACCTTGTGGCTGGAGGGGCTGGGGCAGGCTGGGCGGGGCCCTCGCCCTTGGAGAGCTCCGCAAATAGCCAAATAATTAAGTGAGTTACCACCGCTTCAGACAGTGTTGTTCAGCCACTCGCTGTCCACACTCAGCGCCACTCCGTTCATATCTTCACAAGTTGAAACCACGCCCACTTTGAAAAGCGTCCTTAGGGAGGGATTTAGCCCAGAAAACGTCCTGTGTAGCAGGAGGCGGTGACCCTAGAGCACCTGGAGCAGCCGCAACTGTGGCTGCCGAGCGAGACTGGCCCCAAAGGCTGCGAGCGTGTGCAGGGGGCGCCTGCGCCCTCTACTCCAGAAAGTTCTATAATGAGCACGCATGGTAAGGGCATTCCTTTTAAGTGGAAAGACACAAATGTTGTTTAAAAGAAAAAGCAAAGAGCCGAGCGCCTCGCTTGCCTGTGTAGAGCCTGGGGGCCTGACCCTGGAGAGGGGGGTTATGGGGGACACTGCTTTCAGAAGCAGGACTCCCTTGCCTTTCTCCCCTCTGGCTGCCCTTGCCCACTAGGCACCAGTGCTGCTCCCTAGCCTGGGGTGAGGGCTGGCGCCTCGGGCCCATCTACCGCTTTCTTTCCAGGAGCAACGTGGCCTTGCAATGGGTGATGACCGGGGCCTGCCCCGGCTCTCCAAGAGCCCTGATGACAGAGCCTTCTGCACAGGTGGCTGTCGGGCCCCGGCTTGTTGCTGGTGCAGTGGCGGGACGAGCGAGAGCACCGTCCTGCCTACCAAGCATGCCCAGAAGCTGTAGAAGCGGACACTGCCGCAGGCCAGACCCAAGGACACAGCCCCAGCACAAGTACACCAGCGCAGACTCTTCAGACGGTGCCCCAGGGCGCGCACTGCTCCCGAGCGGCCACTCTCCACTGGGCCCAAGTCTCCAGACAGCTGCCGGGCTCCAGGCAGCAGGCAGAGTCAGGAGAAACTCCACCCCGTCCTTCCACCTGGCCTTCTGGCTCGGCCTTCGCCACCCACGTGGTCACGTGACCTTGGCCTGCCCCCTTCCCAATGTTGTGCGGCGTGGGTGCCCGGCCAGGGGTCCTCAGTGGGACAGCCAGCCCCGGCCGCTCTCCGGCCCCCCTCCAGCCGGAGCACCCAGCAGAAGGTGCTCAGGCAGGGGAGGGCTATCCAGCCGGACACCGCTCGGCCTGGCCTCTGGCAGCTAGGCCACAGCGGGGGCAGCAGGAGCAGCCACCAGAGGCGGCCTTCTGGAAAGTGAAGGGGTCGGGGAGGAGACATCTGAGCCTTCCAGCTCCCGGCCTGCCGTGGCGAGCAAAGTCACAGCCAGACCCTGCTGGGCCCAGTGAGACATGCGCCTGTGCGGCTCCCGGGCCTCCCCTGCACTCGGCTTCCCCTCAGCCTTGGGCGACCCTCGCAAGATGCCACTGACCCACGGCACCCCTTTGTGGCACCTGGACGGGGCAGGCCGAGACTTACTGAGAAGTAAGTCTGTCCTCCATTTGCTTCAGAGCGATGTAACTCCATGTTTGTCTGTCTCTCGGTGGGCAGGGGGGCCCCGGGGCTCTTCTCAGGGCCAGGAGTGCCCTCGTGAGCGCTCCTTGCTGCCGAGTTTGGCACAGACTTCTAGAGACACAGGGATCAGGATACGGCATGGGCCGGGCGCGGGCGCCGCACGGCTGCGTCCCAGGACGGGCGTTACCCTGCTGGCTGTGTGACCTCAGGCAAGTTGCTTGACTTCTCTGGCCTCGCAAGTGGGCACAGTGATGGGCCTTGCTTCACCTGGGTATTGTTCAAGGAAGCGAGGGGATGTCTGCGGGCGACTTGGAAGGGTGACTGGCACAGGACACACAGACGAGCGCCATCACCGCCCCCATGGTCATGGCTGGTATTATTTCCTGCGCTAGTACCTCTGACAAAGACAGCAGCCATCGGTTCAAGAGCCAAGCATCACTCAAGTCGACAGGAGGCCGACGAGCACAGCTCACCTAGGCGCCGACTTCAAGAGTCTCGGCTGAAGCCCAGCTCTCAGGAGCCCCAGGGGTACAGGGTGCAGGCAGCTTGGCCACAGGAATGCCAGGGCACCTCTCTAAAAGCCGCACAGGCCTGGGGGCGGGGTGCAGCTGACCCCGGCATCCTAGCATCCTCTGCGGCCGCCCAGTGCTGGGAGATGTCCTGGGTGGGGAGCACTTCCTGACTCAGGCCAGCCTCTTCCGGATCTCTGGCTTGCAAACGATTCAACCTCCAAGCTCCAGCTCGCACCCTGAAATGGCAGGGGTGTGTGCCGAGCCCACCCCACTCTCTGGGGCCTGGAGCAAGGTCACAAAGACCACTAGGCCTAGAGCCCGAGGGCTCTCATGGCCCTGGGCCCCCACACCCTCTTGGTCCCTCCCTGCAGCAGCTCTCAGCCCCGGGGCTTCCTGCCTCACAGGGCTGGCTTTTCTCCTGGCTCTGTGCTGAGCCCCTTTCCACACTCCCCTCTCCCATCCCCCCACTTCTGTGCCAGGTCGCCAGCATTTCACTCCAACCACCTGGCAGTGCTGGGCACAGACCAGGTTGGTGAGATCAAGATGAGCTGTGTCCTTGGCCCTCACCTCCTCGGGAGGCAGCAGGGTTAGCCGCTGCCCCACGGCCTGGGCCCACCCATTCTGCCTCTTCAGGCTGCCTCAGTCCTCAGGGTCTGGCTCCGCCTTAGCACCCCCTGCCAGGCTGCGGCCAGGAACCCACCAGCTCCCATCACAAGCCACGTGGCCTTGGTTCCCTGGGCTGTGAAAGGAGCCGTGGAAAGCTTTCAGCATAGCACGGACCCTGGGACTAGAAGGGTCCAGGAAAGGGTCCAAACTGCACCCCTATGTGGGAGGCGCCTTCCCCCTGCCAGGCCTTTGGGGGTGTCCAGCCCTTTGCCTGTCCAGTCAAAGAAGGGCCAAATCCCTCCCCCTCAGGGCCTCAATGGCCCCACTGGAACAGTGGGGCAAACCCAGGCCTGGCTGCCCTCACAGGTGATTCTGCAGATTCGGGAGCTCAAGGTCGTGGCTGTGCCCCCTCTGAGCCAGGCTTGTGCCGGGCATGGGGCAGCCAGTGCAGCTTGAGCCCGCTGCCCGCCTCAGGACGCTCCCAGGCCCATGGGGTGAGGGCAGGGCTGAGGGCGCAGAGCTGGAGGGCGCGAGCGGCAGATGCCTCTCATGCTGGCAGCCCAGTCCTTGCAGGAGCAGGGCAGACTGTTGGCTGAGGTCGGGCTAGACTGACCTCTGTGGCTAGCGGGGACCAACTTTGGTCAGATGCGTGGCAGCCGCATCTTTGCAATCCCTAGTGACCCCATTCCCCCAGCCCAGCCTGGCGAGCGTCCAGCATCTGGGTGAAGGAGGCCGGCCCTGTGCCCCTCTAGGGAGTGAGTGCCAACCCAGGCTGGCTCCCAAGCCCTCAGCAGCCCATGCCGGGCTTTCCAGTCCTGCCACCATTCCTGGGCTCCTGGGCTGACAGACCCTGTTGCTATGGAGGCCCCCAGAGAGCACAGCCAGGTCTAGGGGAGAACAGGGCTGCCTGGACGGGCACCAGGGCCCCCTCGTTTGGGAGAGGAAGCAGAAGCCGGCTGCGTTCCAGAATCCTAAACAGGTCAGAAAACTGAGGCCCCCAGGAGCAGCCATCTGGCCAAGGTCACACAGGTGAGGAGACTGCTCCAGGAGGGAGGAGGAGTGGGTCGAGCGAGGGTGGCCCAGCGCCCCGTGGTGGAAGGGTTGGCGGGCGGGGGCAGCTGGGCGCGCGGGGGCGGCGTGGGAACCGTGTGCGGGTTTCTTAGACCGCGTGTGGGGCTGCGCCGGGAGAGGGCGCGGGGCCGCCCCGGCTCCTGGCAGGTGCTTTGCACAGCCTGACGCCCCTGCCCTGCCTGACCACCGGCAGCCCCCGCGGCCTTTCTCCCCAGAGGCCCATGCGCGTGCGCGGGATGCGGGGCTCAGGGTGCGGAGTGCGGGGTGCGGGGCCCCGGGGTGACGCGCGGCAGTGGCGCGGCAAGGACACGCAGGCCCTGCGTGGGGGCAGGTGCTGCGGGCAGGGACGGACCCAAGCCCCCACCTGCCGCCCGTGCCACCTGCCGGCCGGCCGCCCCACCCGCCCCAGTCCATGCCGGCGCCCACCTCTGGGGCGCCGCGCGCCCCGGACACCACTTACCCGGTCATGGGCACGGCCGCCGCGGCGGCCTGGGCTCTGGCGAGCGCTTGGCTGCGGGCTAGCGTGTGGCGGGCAGCGATCTGCTCCCAAGGACGGAAAGGCCCGGGCACAGGGCGGCTTGGTCGAATGCGCGGGGCGCGACCCTCCCCGGGGGCGGACGCGGCTGCGGCGACTGCTCCCCACGCTCCGCACCGGCGGTGGCGGGCGACGCGGCGCGCTCGCTCTCTCCAGCCGCAGCTCTGAGCGCGGAGGGAGGGACAAGGCAGGGGAGGGGGGAGGGAGCTGGGGGAGGAGGGAGGCGGCAGCCAGGGGCCCGGCCTCGGAGCCAGGGCTAGCGCGTGGCCGCCTACCCCCATCTCGGGTGCCCACCTTTCCTGGTCAGCCAGTGCCCAGAAGGAACTGGTCAAGGGGGGTAGGGCCGCTGAAACTGGGGGGTGAGGGCAGGCTAGCACCTGGGAGCTCAGAGCTCCAATGCAATGGCAGGGCGCGGGCGGCGCTCCCCGGATCCCTGGCCTCTGGTTGTCCCCCCCACAAGCGGATGGTTGAGGGGCTGACTGCTGACCTGTAGCCGGCCCCTGCCCCCCAGTGTCCTAGGGGCCTGGAAGGGCAATTTTCAGGTGCTCAAGGTCACTGACCCCAAAGCTTCTCGCCGGCACACCATGGCGAGGGGCACGACACGACACTCAATGAAAGGCAGCCAGCCCTTCTGGGGCAAGGCAGCCCGCGCCCGCACAGCGATGGCTCCGCAGGCCCACGCTCGTGCACGCCAGCCACGCTCACGTGCCACCGCCGTGCGCAGCGCGCACCCGCACTCACACTCGCCCTCATGCTCACTCCTCAGCGCAGTGGCCAAACCCGGAATATGCATGGCGTGTCTGAGAGAGACCCAAGCAAATGTGTGCCCAGGTGCCAGCGGCTGTCCGTGAGCAGCGAGCAGAGGTGTGAGAGTGCGGGCCACAGGAGCGGCCACCAGAGGAGAGAAATGCCAGGTCCCATGCGGGCATCAGCCCTGAGCCCAGAAAGGTGACTGTGGAAGAGGCCCGGGCACACCCCCGAGGGCCTGGCAGTACGCCCAGGCCTGGCACGTGGTGGCTGCAGGACCACAGAGCAGGGAGTGGGGAGGCCAGCACCCCACGCAGGGTGGTGCTGGGGGTCACGAAGGGCCCTAGAGGAGGAGCCGCAGTGACAGGCCTGTAGGCCCGCAAAGGGACATAGCTGCTGACGTGCACGCTTAAAGAACACACGCATGCCACGCACACAGGCATGCTGACAGGCACGTGCTCACACACGCTCACCTCATGCTTGGACGCAGCATGCTGACACGCCAGCCGCTGCCTGCTCCCTCGAGGGCACGCTCACCACAGCCTTACGTGTCCCGTGGCTCAGGCCACATTCACAGCTCACACACGCTTGGACACTCGGTCACACGTGCCAGCCACTCCCACCTGGTCGCGCCTCAGGCCCCACCGCGCCTGCTCTTCCACATAGCCGCCCTTCCTCACGCACCCTGCTGCCTTTGGGTGTTTGCCCTGGGAGAGTGAGCTGGTGCTGACTGCCACCACGCTGGCCCTTGGCCGTCAGGCCACCCTGGGCATATGCTCGAAGGGCCACCACACCCCCACTGGAGCAAATGGCCAGGCCGGGCTCCCAGCCCACACTCCCCTGTGAGGGAAGAACAGTCGTGAGCTGTGGGACACCCACCAGCAGCCATTGACGTCTCTCCCCATGGACACTGCCCCCCACCTCCGTTCCTAAGGGTGCTAGGCTCCTGGGGACTGGCCCGGTGGTTTGCCCAGGTCCCGGAGCCAGAGGAGGCCGGGACAAGCTGTCGGCCAGTGTCCTGTGGTGGCAGCAGATGCTCCTTGACAGGGCTGTGCCTGGTCACTAGCTCCACCTCAGTTACCCATCAGCCTCTTCTCAGGCAGACGCTTGGGGGCAGGAATAGGGGGTCGAGGGCCAGGGAGGCGGACATGTGCGCCCTGGGAGTGGCCGAAGACGTGAAAGAAGGCCCCCTTAGGGGTGCAAATGTCTCTCTGGTGGGGCACACATATTGCCCCTGAGGGTGCTGGTTGGGAGAGACACTCACCCCTTGCCCTGCTCTCATCACAGCTCCCCATCTTGCTGGTACCCTTGAACACCAGGGAGGTAGCCAGTTGAGGGAGGAGCCTGGGGCAGGCTGGGATTCCCCCCTCCCCCCTGCTCTGAGCAGCGCACTGGAAGTTGGCTGCCCTCGCCTTGTGCTGAGGCCGCTAGCAGCGAGCAGTGGGGTGTGTGGTTTATGAAAGGGCCGGGGACCAGCCCCAGGGATGCAGCCCCAGCAGCCGATGGACAGGAGTAACCCGTTTCCTAGGCCTGGCACAGCGGGCCTCAGCCCGGTCCCGGTGCTGACAGGAGCGGCCCAGGCCCGGGAGTGGGGAAGCCAACCACCAGTGTCAGGGGCCCCTAGCTTATCTGGGGTGCTGAAGGGGGAGGTCTATGCTAGAAAGTTCTGCTGGGTGGGGGGAAAGCTAGAGAGAACTCCCTGCTCTTCTGCAACCCTCCCCCTCCTCCTGTCCTGTCCCGCCCCACTGCGGCTGTGCCCACTCCCACCTCCCACACTGGCAATGGCTCCCTGCCAGCTGCCCCTGTTCAGACACCCCCAGCGGTACTCTCAAGCCAAAGAAGCCCAGGCAGCCCAGGAGGCCACCCTGCACCCAGTGCCAGGGGCACCTGTGGGAGGGCTTCACTTTCCCTCCCTGCTGACCCAGCGCCCTCCTCCCCCCTCCCTGCGCTTCCCTCCGGGCGGCCACCCCACTGCCACCACCCCTCTTCTCCAGGACCCTGCAGCTGCGGCCCCCTCACCGCCCCTCTGGCCGGCTGCAGTGGCTCTCACAGTCTGCTCTGGGGACGCAATCCTCAGCCTGGCCTTGAGTCGCAAGGGCCCTGGCTGGGCTCTGGGCCCCTCTGTCCTTCACATGACCATGCTTTCCTGGCTGAGGTCACAGACCTCCCCCAAGGCCTTTGGGGGCTCCAGCCACTGCAGTCTGGGGCAGGCTGAAGTATGCCCAGAGCCTCACGAGCCCTCGCCCTGCAGGTAGGACGGGGTTACTTGCAGCGAGGTTGCAAAGGTGATGAGCTCAAGGGCCTTGAGAATGGGGGCCCCCTAATCTGTCCTGGAGGGATGGCTGAGAAGTGTCCTGAGAGGAGAGAGGGGCCGGGGGTGTCATGCCACAGCAGACAGGCCAGGAGGCCCTGGCACGATGGAGGCAGAGGTGCAGGTGACAAGTCACAAGCCAAGGGACACTCGGAGCCCCCAGAAGCTGGAGTGGCCAGGGGAGCCCCTCAGAGGTTTTAGAGGGAGTGAGGCCCCCCAGACGCCGGCACGGAGGCACACGCAGCCCTGGGAGCTCTGGCTTCCCTGGAGCCGAGCGCTGCACACCCCTCCCGCCGGCTCCCAGGGGCTCAGTCCACCCCCGGAGGCTCTGGAAGGCCAGTGTCCTCCTCATGCTTGGGGCTGGCTGTGGCCCTCAGAGTGGCACTCTTGCCAGCCCACTGGCCTGCGGGCCAGCTCAGCTCCTGGGCACTCTTCCCCTGCCCTGGCAGCCTGAGAGCCCTGTCCAGAGCATGGACGACTTGGTTTCTCCCTGCGCCCCTGCCTGGCCCAGCCCCCACTGGGCCTGCGGGCCCCCGAGGAGGGGCTGTGCCTCGGATGCCATCAGAACCCTGGCCAGCTGCCCCTCCAACAAGCTCCGACTTGTCTAAACCGGAGCGGCTTTGGCTTGGGCTCCAGCTGGGCCCGTCACCTCCAGAAGGCACCTGACCGGCTGCAGTACTCCGAAATGGCCCCCACCCCCGTCCGTGCGGCTCGGGGCTGCTCCCCGGCTGCGACGCCTTTCACGGGACATTCATTTCTGCGCCCACCCAGGGCGCCCTTGGGCTCACCGTCCACCCCCACTGCACCCAGACCCCCTCACCAGCCTGCCACAGACCCAGGGGCCCACTCTCTTCCACTAGCCCTAAGACCCGTCGGCCCCAGTGCAGGGCTCCCCTGCCCTCTCCTGCATGGCCCACAGTCAGGCAGTGTCGTACCCCGGGGCCAGCCACAGCCCTTGCAGCTTCCCAACCTGGTGCCCTGGGTTTGCCTGCGACCCGGCTGGCCCTGGCTCTGGAAGCTCGCCCCGCCTGGGAGCAGGTGCACACGAAAGTTACACGGGGGCAGGCGGCCGGCAGGGTTAACCTTGAGGTGATCATGTTCTTGTCTCTAAAGTTCCATCTTTCTCGATTTTCATGGCATCATCATGAAACGGTTCACAACGCACTTGCGCAGGGGGTGAGTTGTCTCTGATCTACTGTTCTGGGACAGGAGACAGGCTTTCCCAGGGCTCTGCCCGGCCCTCACGGCATCCGGTCTGGGCAGGACGCCTCCCCTATGCTGTGAGCCCTGACCCCTCCACGCCAGGGGACTTGCCGAAGGCCCTGGCTCCTGGCCCCCAGCAATGCCACTGTCCTGAGCCTGCGCAGCTCTGCAGAGACGCGGCTGCGGCGCGTGCGGCTCAGAACCACGCTGTGGTGCCGGTGGGGTGGGTAGTGCTCACCTGTCAGCAGCCGCCACCGACTGGGCGTCCCAGCCCCAGAGACAAACCGAGGGGCACCGGTTGCCCCGGGCTGGGTTAGGCATAAGGCGCGGAGCGGGCGTGCTGGCAGCCAGCCGCAGCGTGTCTGGGCTCCTGCCCTCTCGGTTGGCACTCTCAGAGGGTCCCACCTGCTCTATGTCTGGGGCAGCCAGGGAAGCCCAGGCTCCTGATACCTGAGGCAGAGGCCCTCCCGGGGCACCTTTCCGGGCAGACCTGTGCCCTCAGGCTAGTGCCTGGTCTCGCGAGTGCGAGAAAGCGGGAGGGGGCTCCGGGGACCCAGCTGGGCCAGGCTGAGAGTGCACCCCTGGTGCTGACACAGCCCGGATGGAGCCCTAAGAGTTCAAGGCTCGCACGCAGGGTGGGCCTGAGCGGCGCTCTGCAGTGGCAGGTGCTGGGGGAGCGGACGCTCCCTTGGGCCCCCTCCTACAGACGGCCTGGAAAGGAGGGAGGAGACTGCCCTGTAGCCTCCCGCCTGCTGGCCTGGGGCCTCCTGGTCTGGCCCAGACCTGGGGCACTGTGCACTCCCTCTTCAGGGAGAGGGTAAGGAGGGAGCCTCAAGTGAGAGGGGACCTGGAGAGGCAGAGCCTGGGCGCCCCACTGCTCGGCCCGGGCCTTCCCGACAGAGGCACACACAGCTGCATGCTCAGCGCTTCTTTAATCGAAGGACAGCGGTAGCCTCCGAAGCAGCCCCACCGAGGGCTGCTTGATCCCTGCCTGGCCCGTGCGCGCACGAAGGCGGCCTAGCTGTGGGGTGAGGCGGGCCAAGAGCAGCCGTGCTGGGGCTCACAGGCTTGGGCGTGGGGCACAGAGGTGGCGAGCGAGTCCAGGCCCCAGTCCTGCGGTCGTGCCACTGCTCCAGGGCCCTCTGGGTGCGGGGCCAAGGTCTGGGCTGGTCTGGGGCCAACGGCCTCCTCCTGGCTTGTCTGGGCACGGGCTGCATAGGGGCCAGGCTGAGGGTCCGGAGGTGAGGGCGAGAGGGAGAGCAGCGGGCGAGGCCTGCCCACTCTGTGCAGTGAGGCGGCTGGCCTGGGGACGCGGGGGGCCAAGGGTAGCAAGTGAGCAGGAGGCCGGTGGGACCTGAGCACTGAGGCGGGCGGGGCCTGGGCTCGGCCTGACTCACGGCTACCTGTGTCCCAGACTCGTGGGCCATTGCCCTCGTGCTGGCGCCTGGGACAGTTTGGTTTGGGGTGAATGGGAAGAACGGCTTGAGGGGTACATCTGAGGGGCTCCGATGAGTGGGCTGGGGCAGCTCCCCATCCCACACTCGGGAGCCAGGGCAGTGAGGGCTCAGGAGCGAGGGTGGGGCTGGGTCGGGTGTGCTCGCGCTGGGGCTCCCCTCCCGCTCGGCCCCCAGAGGTCCCACCCGGGCGGCCAGGCTGCTGCTGCCGCCTCTACTTTTTGTAGTTGCCGAACTGGATGGCCAGGCGGTCGGTGACGCAGCGGAAGGTGGCCGGCTGCACCTCCCAGTACGGGACGGGGTTGTTGAAGAGGCTGATGCCGTTGTAGTAGGCCCGCTTCACCCCGAAGCCCACGGGGCAGAAGTCGTTGACGCCCACCTTGGTGATGTTGTTGGCGTGTAGATACACCACCTGGGGCAGAGTGGGGGCCTGGGCTCAGTGGCGGGGCCCAGTCCCCCCTCGGGTCCTCCACAGTCTGTCCCGGTGCAGGTGCAAAGGGAGGGCAGAAGGCTGAGCCTCCAGCTCCCGGCGCCTCCTCAGGGGCAGGACATGACGCTCCCACTGGGTGGGGGTGGGTCTTGGGTATCTTATCAGACGGGAGTTGGGCAGGACGAGGCGCTGGTGTGTGACCAGCGACCCGCAGGAAGGGCCTAGGCAGGCGCGGGGGAAGTGCTTGTGGCACCAGGGACCAAAGCCTGCCTGAGTCCCTGCCCTTTCTCTGGGTCCCGCAGCTTAGAAGGGAGGAGCAAGGGGCAGGCGCAGCGAGCCTGGGTGTGTAGGGATCCCAGGGAACAGAAGCCCGCAGACTGCGATAGCGCCCTCTAGAGGTGGAGAGCGCACAGGCCGCTAGAGGGCGCACTCAGCCCAGCCTGGGTGGGTGGCCCACAGTGCAGAGGGTGGCGGTTCTCCTCCTTAGGAGGGAGCTAAGGAAGAGACTGAGGCCCAGAGCCTGGCCAGGGAAGGCCAATTTCACCCATACGATGGGACAGCAACCCAGGGCCAGGAGCCTCTGACACAGCCCCGGGGCGGGGTGGGGGCGTGGGGGTAGTGAGCCAGGCCCTGTGCCCCAACCGCATTAATCTACCTCCTGCCCTTGGGCTGTGTCAGTCTTGGCACAATTCTGCGTGCCCCTGCCCTGACTGTCCCCTGACCTCCCAGGCCTGTCTGCTCAGCCCTGCAGGCCCTGTCCACTTGTCCTCTGCCCTCCTCACTGCCCGGCCAGCAGAACCTGCTCCCCCTCCTCTTCCTCAGCCTGGAGGGGGCTCGGGCTGACGGGCTTCTTTGCAAACCAGCTCATGTGGTCCCGGCCACACTGCACCTGGGCACGCACCAAAGCAGGAACACAAGGCTGCTCTCCTGCCCCAACCCCGGGGGATCCGGCCTGGGGCGGCCTCTCTCACCTGCAGGAGCTTGAGGTCCGGAAGGCCGGCCGGCACCCTGGACAGTTTGTTGTTGTCCAAGTGCAGCTCCCGCAGGGTGGGCAAGAAGCTCAGGCTTCCGTTCTCGATCATGCGGATCTGGTTATGGCCCAGACCCAGCCTGAGTGGGGACAAGGAGAGGGAGTGAGGCCCCTGGAGAAAAGCTGGGGGCGGGGCCAGCACCCCAGTCCCGCGCACCTGGAAAGCCTGGAGTAGCGCAGCAGGTCCTCTAGCTCGATGGCCTGGATCTTGTTGTGGTCCAGATGCAGCTCATTCAGGGTCTCCGGGAGGTCTGCGCAGAAAGGCCCAGGCTGGGGTCATGGGGGCGGCCAGGGGCTGCCGAAGCCCTCCCCGGGGAGGCCAGGTGCACCCGGCTGCCCAGCTCCCCCGGGGCATGGCCCAGCTGGCCTGCCCCAGCAGGAAGGCAGTTTCCTACCTTTGGGGACGCCAGTGAGCTTGGCCTCCGAGATGCGCAGGTAGTTGAGCTTCAGCCCATCAAAGGCTCCAGGTTCAAAGCCACTGTTCTCCAGGGGGTTCCCGCCCATCTCTAGGAGAGAGGCCCTCAGCTAGGAGCTGGGGGGGTGCTCCCCACACACCTGTCAGGCCCCTGGCCCCCACCAGCTCCTGAAAACCTCATGCTGGGCTACTGCAAGCTCCCTCCTGCTCAGCTCAAGACAACTAGCCCCCAAGGGCCCCCGGCATGGGGTGCGGGGGAGCAGGAGGAGAGGGAGGGAGCCAGGTTCAAGGTGAGACGCCCCGCCAGCTGCCTGGCTGCTCTGGCCTCTTCCCTGCCCTCGCACTGGCCGGAGTGCCCGAGTGTCAGGAGGGCGCCTGAGAAACGACCCTTTGCACTTGTTTCAAAGGACCCTTGAACTGCCCCTTTAATGCCATCGTCCAGTTTCTCAGCTAAGTGTTGTGCGCACGGCCCTGGAGAATGTTCCATGCGGCCCTCCAGAATGTTCCGCCGCGGGGGCACTCACCGATGCAGTTCATGTTGCGCAGGCCGCTGAACACGCCCTTGGGCACCTTGCGGATGCGGTTGTCGTGGACGCGCAGCTCCACCAGGGAGCTGGGCAGGTTGGGCGGGATCTCCACCAGGTGGTTCTTAGAGATGTACAGCTTCTGCAGCTTGCGCAGGGGGCTGAAGGCCTTCTCGTGGATCTTGGAGATCTTGTTGTTCACCAGGACCAGAGCCTGCAGCCGGGTGGGCGCCAGCTGGAGCCCCGCTGCCACCCCCGCCCCGCCCTCCCCTCCTGCCCCAGTAGGACTGCGCATGGACCAAGCGGACAGGCAGCACCTGCCCTGTGCCTGGCACAGCCTGTGCCTGCCGGGTCCCCCACTGGCACCCTGGCCACAAGGAAATCTCTTCTTGTGCTGCTGCAAGGAACCAACCAGCTGACTGACGCGTGGGGCCGGAAGGGGAGTGGGCTGCGTGGCCCTGTGCTGAAGCCTCGCGTGGGACGAGGGACTCAGGGCACCTCTGCCAACATGCTCCCGCCGCCTCCCACACGCGCCGCAGCGCTGTGCCACTCACACCCACCTGGACGCAGCACCCCAGCGGCACACCGCCCCTGGCACCAGAACTTACGTAGAGGCGCTGGAGGCCTTGAAAGTCATCCCGGCGCAGCTCGGAGATCTCGTTGTTCTGCAGGTCCAGCAGCGTGGTGTCGGGCGAGATCTCCTTGGGCACAGCCTTCAGACCTGGGGGTGCCGCTGTCACTGCCTGGGCCCCGGCCCGCCGCGGGCCAGGGCCGCCGGCGCCCAGGGCTCCGCCACTGAGGCGCGGAAGCTCCGGGATTGGCGCAGGGGCTCTGCGCCCCACCCCCCGCAAGCCGACCACCCCCTGCCCCTCCCTGCCCACCCTGCCAGGCGCACCCCGGGCAGACAGCGCCCTGCGCCCGGCCCCGGCCGGCACTGACCCAGGTCTGAGCACTGCACCACGCGCAGGTGGCAGTGGCAGCCGAAGGGACACACGGCACTGAAGGTGGGCGTGAACGAGTCCAGGTCCGGGGCGCCCGAGGTCGTGCCGGCGCCGGAAGCCTCCTCATCGTTCATCATGGGCAGCGCGTCGTCCAGGGAGAAGTCCCAGAAGCCCTTCTGCTCAAAGGGCAGCGGCTGGCTCAGGGCCAGCAGGGACGCGAGGCACCACAGGGGCCACATGGCGGCTGTCTGCGAGGCCAGGGCAGGGCAGTGTGAGGGGCGTCCGGCGGCGGCACCGTCCTCCCCCCACCCAACGCCGGGCCTGCACGTCGGCAGCGCAATTCTCGGTCCTCGGCCAGGCCTGGGGCGGCAGGATGGTCGGCGATGGGGAGAGGGTGTGAGCACGCAGGACGGGGTGCTGTCCTCCTCTCCCCGGGCTCCCAGTGCGCCCGCCCGCCGTGGCTTCCCAGTCACCGAGTCGCGCTAGCACAGCGCAGGCGCACTGCGTCAGCTCAGAGGCTCCTGGGGGCGGGGTCAGGGAGGCGCGGGAGGCCGTGGACATGGAAGCCAACTGTTGGCCCTCCCGGGCTTTAGAGCATTCGGGCGTGTGGGCACAGACGGCTCAGTCCCGTGGGCGCAGTGTGCAAGAGCTGGCGCCTCTTCCCTTCTGCCAGGCACCCCCGGCAGTGCGCCCAGGCTTCTCTAAGAAAGTGGACAGGCCATGGCACAGGGCCAGGCCAGCAGAGTCGAGAAAGAGAGGGCTACCCCCAGGACGTGCTGGGCTGAGGGCCCCCACTGCCTCATCTGCCCACCTCTGCGCGCAGAGCCCAGGGCTCCCCATCTGTACCCCCTCCTTCTGCCCATGGTCCAGCCCCCGGAGTGGCCCCCCAAGGGGAGAGGCGGCTGCCAGGGTGGCGGGGCAGGGTCAGACTTGTCTGGAGGCCCCCAGGCTGGGCAGCAGAATTGGGGGAGGGGAGTTTCCCTGCCTGAGCCTGCCCCGCGCCCACATCTGGTGGAAGATGCAGGCTCCCACTGCAGAAAGTGCGAGACAGAGACGCCAGGCCGCTGCCCCCACTGCACCTCCCGCTTTCCCAGGGAGGCCAGGGTGCGTTCTCATCTGCCAAACATGAACACTGCGCCTGCCCCTGCCTCCGGCTAAGGGGCCGAGTGGCCCCAGCGTGTCTGAGCAGGGGCCGCCTTGGCTGGTGATGGGCTGCGTGGCGGGGCTTCAAGGAGCAGGGTGAACCTCAGCCTGACGCTGGCTACATGGCAGGGGCCCTGCAGCAGCTCACAAACAGCGTGGCCCTGGCTGTTGCTTCACGACGTACAGTGGGGTGGAGGGGGCGAGAACACCACCGAGCCAGCACTCAACAACCCAGACCTAGGGCTCCCAGGAGCTCCTGAGCGGCCCCCCTCCACACCCCTCAGGCCTGCCCTGACTGGGCTGCTCACCACCTGCCCCCAGCTCCCATGGCCCTCAGGGGCAGAGCTGGGGCATGCTGGGCAGGGATAGGCCATGGGCTCCGCTTCGGAGACAACCCCAGAGCGGCCTGCAGGCCCCAACAGCCCCCCAAGCCCACAGCCCTCAGGGACAGAAGCTTCTGCTTGCCTCAGTTCAAAAAGTAACCCCCACAGCCCTGTGACAGGCGGACCCTAGGACTGGCTGTTTCTTCAGAATGCAGAGTTGGAGGTGGCTCAGAGCCCCGGGTCACGGGGAGTCTCCCGGCTGGGGTACACCCAGCCTCCCTGTTTGGGTCAAGCCTCAAGAACTCACGAACACAGCCCAGGTCCAATCAACCCAGGCTGGACCCCAAAAGGCCTGGGTGCAGTGCAGGGCAGCCCATGTTGGCCTACCTGGGCAGCCTCTGCCCCTTCCCCCGAGTGTGCCAGGCCTGCCAGCTCTGTGTTCGGACCGAGGGGGGGGTGAAGGCAGGAGAGCAAGATGGGTTGGGAGAGGCTGGTTAGAGACTCAGTTCTGGTCAGGATCTTCGAGGGGCGTTGGAGGCGAGAGACCCCGCAGGAGGAAGCTTGAGACCAGGAGAAAGGCTGCCTGGTCGCGCACAATCCTTACCCGTTTAAGGAAGTGAAAGCCAGGGACTCAGCCAGAGACGGGCCCCAGCGGGGGGTGCTGAGGAGGGTGGTGGTGGCCGGGGGCTGTGCAGAGCTCGAGGCACCTTCAGCCTGGCCCCGCCCCCAGGCCCACCTGCACTCACAGGCAGGCAGGGCCGGGCTCGGGAATCAGGCGGCCACTGCGGCCAGTCCCTGGCGACCAGGACCTCTGGGCCTCAGTTTTCTGCCATCAGTGTGTGAGGATGTGTCCCCAGGGGCTTGAGGGAGGCCCTCAAACCTCATCAAAGGGTGCTGTGCGCAGCTGGACTCTCCTCTGGAGCCAAGGGGAGAGGTGAGGTGTGAGGAGAACGAGGCTGGGCTGCCCGGCGCCTACGCCCAACAGCGCACTCCTTGTCTGCCCTGGAAGCCGGCACAGCGCTTGGTGGCGGGCTCCAGACCGCGGCCAGACAGGACGTCTGGCAGCCTCCGCGAACACGGAGGGGCCGTGCCAGACATTCAGGCCAGGCCACGGCGAGCCACCCAACTGCTTTCACGCTTCACCACCTCCCAGCCAGCACCGCTGGGGCACTGGCACTTCAGGATGCCCCCTCTGTCTGCCAAAGGCTGCTGGGCCCAACTTGGGGGCGGGGGCAGGGGCACTGCCCGCCAGGTAGGTCAGTGCCAGGCTGATGCCAGCCACTGCTGCTTCTCCTGAGGGGCCAGGCCTACACTGGCCAGTCAAGCAGTGTGAGGACGTGGGCCACCCATGGGTCTGTTGAAGCCCGAATGTGGCAGGGGGGACTGGTTTTGGCAGGGGGTGGACCCCGGGCCCTGCCTGTCTGCATGCCCACCAGCCCCCCTGCGTCCCCTGCCATTGCTTCAGCAGACCTGCCAGGCCTCAGGGGAGCCAGGGAAGTTCCCCCGCGCTGAAGTTCACCCCACTGCACTGGGGTGGCTGTGCAGAGCTGGGGTACACTGAATGCAGGCACGGAAGGCTGCGGAGAACCAGCCTGCGGGTGTCAAGGGCTGACACTTGAGCACTGCCGAGGCGGCTGGGTGCTGGCCAGGCCCGCTCTCTCCTCACAGCCGAGAGGTGCAGCCACCCGCCCCGCCCCCGCCCTGGGAGCAGGGTCAACTGCTGGCCTTCTGCCCCGAGGGGCCTGGCTTCCTGTGTGCCCTCTGTCCCACTGCAGGAGCCTGAGCTTGCTTGCCATGTTCGCCCAAGGGAGGGGAGGGTCAACTGCGCAGCGGCAGGACAGGCACTCAGGTGCTTGCTCACGTAGCCCCTGCCCGTCTCCGGAACCACAGCCATCACAAGGAAGCACCACCTGTACCACTTCATGAATGGGGAAACTGAGGCCGCTGCCATCAGTAACTCCCCGCCGGCCCTGGGCCCGCACACCCACCAGGCCCCGCCCGCTGCTCCGCTTGTCTCAGAGGGAGCCGCCTGCAGACACCACCACCCTGCCAGGCCCAGGCCCCGAGCAGTCTGGGCCCCGGCAAGTGACCGGTCCTGCAGGGTAACGTCCTCGTTGGCTCGCAGCGCCCCCGCCCGACGCCGCTCCCCTCGTGCCCTCTCAGGCTTTCCCAAGGGGCTTGGCTGTGGTGATGGGAGTGGGGCTCCAGCCCTCCCCTACCAGTTCAGGGGCCAGGGCTGCGTGCCAGGTCCTCGTTCTTTATTGCCAGCCGGGACCGGTGGGCCACAGGCGTCAGCTGCCTGCCTCCTGGGACAGGGCTGTGGGGCCCCGCAGCCCCACCTCTGTCCCCCACTTCTCAGTTCTGCAGCTACTGGAGCCTCTGCTTGCTGTGGCCCCTTTGGCCACACCGGGTGCAGGCGGATGGCTGCCCTCGTCCTTCAGCTGAGCCAGGCCCAGGGTTTCTGTAGCTTGGCTTTTGGGGGCCGTGTGGAGAGCAGGGTGCAAGAAGGCTGGGTAAACCTGAGGAACGTGTCCCCAAAGGGCGCAGGTAAGCGAGGCCTGCTGCCTGTCAGCTGCCAGGAGGCAGCAGGGTCTCGTGTTCTGCAGTGTCCAGCGGAGCTGATGCGCCCTGGACCAGAAAGTACCCTCGTGGCCACCCACCTAGAGCAGAGAGGGAAGGGCCATCGGGGTGGGGTTTCAGGAACTCCCAGGGAGCCAAGGACGCCCCAGGGGCCCTTGCGCTGTGGGCTCGAGGTAGCAGAAAGGGGTGCTCTCCAGGAACCTGGGGAGATGACCCCCCAGCCCCTCCTGCAGGAAAGGTGACCAAAGGGCCCAGGCCCACCACCCCAGGGAGCCCCGAGAAGCCGCTTCCGGAAGGCTAGAGAAGGGCCTGACTGCAGGCAGTGGGCCTGAGGTCCAGGGCAGGGCTGAGCGAGCAGATGCCCATCCTGCCTCCCTAGGCCCCAGCGCGCTGGCCCTCTAGGATGGGATTTACAGAAAGGGCTCTGTGGGTGACCGCAGTGTGTGAGGGAGAGGAGGGCCCTGGCGTGGGCAGCCCATGGGAACTGGGAGGGCAGCCCTGGCAGGATCCTGCTCCGTGTGCCTCCAGAGGGCGCTCGAGCCCACCTTATACCCAGCGCTGACGGCAGGCGCCTCAGGAGAGCTGTGCCACCCCTAGACCTCATCCAACCCGAACCCAGTCCTGGGTGACCAGGAGGCCCAACAGCTTAAGCCCAGACTCTCGCTGTCTGCGAAGAGGATGAGGGAGAGCTGGCGAGGGTCATGCTGGGTGGGGAGAGTGTCCTCACGACTAGGGGTGTGGGGCTAGGCGAGGAAGGGAAGGCGTCCCGGTAGGAAGAGACCCCACCTGCAGGACAAATGGACCAGTGACAGGCTGTGGGGCATCTGTTGGGAGTCTGAGGGGAATCCTGGGGGTGTCCATCTGGTGCCAAGTCCGCAGGGGCGGGGGGCTGGCTGGTGCCGGGACACCTCCTCGGCTCCTCCGGAGCGCAGGGGCGGGCGGGAAGGGCGGCCGCCGAGGAAGGCAGCCCCTTGCTAGGCTGTGCAGGCCGCTCTGGCAGGCTCTGCTGTGCTGACTGGAGGCTGAGCTGGAAGGGACAGTGTGGGTCTGCTTGAGAGACTCCAGAGGGGAGCACCTCCCTCCTCTCCTGCCCCTTCATGACCTCCACGGCCTCCAGTGCCATGGAGCGAACCCTTGGCCCATGCGCCGAGCTTACCTAGCTTACGCCTAGGCTCAGCACCCTGAATGCGCGTGCCCAGAAGTGCCTACCGCCAGACCCATCAGCCCAGGGCTGGGCCCCGACACCCCATGTGCATAGGCCTCCGGGGCGGGGCGCATGAGCAGGCGCTTGGTGTCTGCTGTGCCTGGGCCGGCAGCTGGCTGGCGCCCCACCGCAGAGCCCTCCTCCTCCTCGGCCCCCTGTCTGCGCCTGCTGCTTTTCCTCACCGTCCTGCCCTCAAGGCTCCCCACACTCGCTCAGGAGCCGCCCCCA